AAGCAGTTTAAGATTGCACTCGTATACCGCACCGAGTAAAATTGTGAAACCATCATCACTCTCATAGTTCTTTTATTCTCCACGAGTGCCAACTTTGATTTGCCAATAAAGGTGTCTCTTTTATGTATTTTAATATTAAAGTTATTGGAAAACATTCCTTTTACCTTTTGCATGCTTACCAATGTCAAATAATATTTGCTCCGCTCTACTGACAGAATGAACTTTTTAAAAAGACAAAGTGATTACTAGCCTGATGCAAAAATTGAAATTTTCGCTCCACAGTGCTCAAATGGCTCCAAATTGGGTCCTGATTAGCCTCCCAAAACTTGAACTCTTTAGTGAGAAACTGACTTGGCACAAACCATTTGAAGATTATATGGGAATTACTATGGGAAAACAAAACTTTTTGTTCATTGTCTTCTAGCTTTTTTACATATTGTACTGTAAACAAATTCTATTGCTATTCTTATGGGAAATTTTATCAGCTACAACTTTCCAGAAAATCGTTTTTCAGCTAAACATCAAATTAAATAGTTATTAATTATTTAAGAGATTGATAACCTTATGAAAAGATTAAGCAGCTGTATTGTGGGCAACACTGTATTCTACAATGTAACATAGTAGCCATGATTTGTTTCCTCTATTCTACGCGTCATAAACACCAATGTTGCCTGCTGAATAGTTGGATGAGCATAATCATAAGACATCAGTGACTTGAATCCTTAATAATTTTTGTTCCTTACATTTGATCAAAAATTGGTCTTGAACAAAGTTGTAGCTGAGAAAATTTTCAACAAGCTCAGCTATCAGTTTCTAAAGTAGAGTGAACTGGTGAATTTTGAGATAGATACGAACCGAAATTATGGTTTCTCCATAGTAATTTCCATATAAACTTCAAAGGGTTTGTGTCAAGTCAGTTTCTCACTAAATGAGTTCAAATTTTGGAAGGCAAATCAGGGCCCAATTTGGAACCGTTTGAGCACTATGGATCGAAAATTTCAAATTTTGCATCAGTCTAGTGATTACTCAAAAGCTTCTTATAATGACAGTTGAGTTGGTTTGTAAATGCATTAATCAGGTTCATTAATGGGTACAATTAAAAAGGGATTATGGTTATTCCTTGTAGAGTCCACAAATGGCCGCCACGTAGGCTATAAATGCACTTCCACCTTGAATTTTCAATTACACAAATCCCGGAAAGTAGAGTTCCATTTCACCTGAAATTGCTACTGCATGTATGCTGCAGCGCAGCAAACGTGGAGTAACAGTTCCTTCTAGTACGTGTCGTGGAAGCTGATATTTGTGCACTTAAAGTTTCGAAGTGGTAGCGAATATAAAGATCTCACAGCGAACCACCTTAATGAGATTCACATATTTCGAATTTCGGACTTTTGGCCAACTTTTTGGGTCAAATACTCCTATGTGCGGCGTGCAGATTAGCGGGGTTCAAACAAAAACGTGTTCATATTACGGTACTAGGTTGCACTTCCCAACAAACAATTCAGAGTCAAAAATAAGCATATATATTGAATAAATGCTTTATAACAGTGTACAATGCTGAATAAAACGGGTTGTCAAATTATGTGCTGAAAAAACCTCATTGACATCGATAGATGCGCCTTTATTCCGCTGTTTGCTCTGATTTGATTAATATACATATTAAAGGGTGATACGGTCAAAATTTGGTCAATATCAACTTGACGTATTTCTTTCAATTTTGCATTTAAAAAACCTGAACACCCCTCATTTTGAAGGTGTGTGTGTGTAGAATGTTGCTCCTATTTTGATTTTGGAATTCACTCTTCAGTTGTCAAAATGCCGTCCAAGCAAGAAGAGCAGCGTATCAAAATTTTGCTCGCGCATCGCGAAAATCCGAGCTACTCGCACGCAAAGTTGGCAAAATCGCTAAAAGTTGCCAAATCAACCGTTACAAATGTAATTAAAGTGTTTGGGGAACGTTTGTCGACAGCCAGGAAGTCTGGATCGGGGGGGAAATCGAAAACCAGAAGCCGCTGAGACGACAAAGAGAGTTGCCGGTAGTTTCAAGCGAAACCCTAACCTCTCTCTCCGAGATGCCGCAAATAAGCTGGGTGTATCGTCTACAACCGTGCATCGAGCCAAAAAACGAGCCGGACTATCGACTTACAAGAAGGTAGTGACTCCAAATCGCGATGATAAACAAAATACGACGGCCAAAGCGCGATCCCGGAGGCTGTACACGACGATGCTGACGAAGTTTGACTGCGTGGTAATGGACGACGAAACCTACGTCAAAGCCGACTACAAGCAGCTTCCGGGACAGGAGTTTTATACGGCAAAAGGAAGGGGAAAGGTAGCAGATGTTTTCAAGCACATGAAACTGTCAAAATTCGCAAAGAAATATCTGGTTTGGCAAGCCATCTGTACCTGTGGCTTGAAAAGCAGCATTTTCATAGCTTCCGGGACTGTCAACCAAGAAATTTACGTGAAAGAGTGTTTGAATAAACGTCTGCTGCCTTTCCTGAAGAAACACGGTTGTTCCGTACTGTTTTGGCCGGATTTGGCATCTTGCCATTACGGTAAAAAGGCCATGGAGTGGTACGCCGCCAACAACGTGCAGGTGGTTCCCAAGGACAAGAACCCTCCCAACACGCCAGAGCTCCGCCCAATTGAGAAATACTGGGCTATTGTCAAGCGGAACCTAAAGAAGACCAAAAAAACTGCTAAGGGCGAGCAGCAGTTCAAGGCAAACTGGCTTTCTGCGGCGAAGAAGGTGGACAAGGTGGCTGTACAAAATCTGATGGCAGGGGTCAAGCGTAAGGCCCGGCAATTCGGATTTGGAAAAGCGGAAGCCTAACTGAATATTTTTCCTGAATTTTATACTAATTGAACTTGAAAAAGAAATTTAATTTGATTTTTTAAATAAACGATTTCACCGATTTACACGCGTTTTCCCTTGACCAAATTTTGACCGTATCACCCTTTAAAAGCTATACAAACGATGACTGTCTTCCTGATTCAAAACCAGAAGTTTGATCTAATAACATACTGAATAAGTGTAATTTGCACATTCATTGAAGCTTTAATTCGAATGTATTCAATTGATTTAATAACATGCTTTATTATACGTCTAATAATTGTTTCTAGCTCCATTATTAGATTCCATTGCATTGCTTAACAATATTGCTGAATAAAGGTGAATACAGTCAGCATAATAGCTCTTATACTACTATGCGTCATGTTTTAATTGCATGCTTTGTAAATGCTTTACAATCGGCTTATTCATTCATTATTCCACAACACTGTTTCAGGCTAACAAAATGAAATTGGTAGCATAGTGGTTACCGTTTCCGCTTGCCAAGCAGAAGGTCGCGAGTTCAATCCCAATCTCGACCCTTTTTTTTTTATTTATTTTCTACGCCTAATAAATTTAAATCGTAAACATAGATCGTATCACTCACGACAACCAATTCATCAATCTTTCGAAAAGAATAGCCCAGCATCTTTTCCATCGAAATTATAGAGATGGAGAGGTAACACTGGTCTCATGTAAGACAACTATGAATGAATAAATCATTCTCACATATCCTTGAATTAGCTAGAGTTACGGCTGGGAGTGCTGATAGGTATTCAGATTCAAGCTTTTATTGCTTATTTAGCTGCCCATATGATGTATTATAGGATAGTTCAGATGGCAAGGCAAGCGGCTGGTGATCGGAAGGTCATGGTTCGAATCCCATCTAACGACATGTGTGTATGTATATATGTAATAAATTTTCTAGTGTCTGTGTGCTTGGGTGGCTTGCTTCGACAGAAATAAAATGACACAACACAACTCACTAACGAGAGAGAAAACAACCCTGCTGCGCTGTCCCGTTCTTATTTTCGGATTAATTATCCCATAGTTGAGAATAATCATTTAATAAATGTATAATAGTGTCTAATTAAACATTATTTCACATGAGAATCAAGCGTTTATATACCTATTTATACCATTGCTGTTTAAGGAAGTAATGATGGCTAATAAACGCTGAATAATCAAAAATTTGATCGATAAAGCTCTGTTTATACAGCTCTTGTAAGTCGTATAAAAGCATCTTGACATACCTTATTCAACACCAAATATTTCGATGTTGTGGTTTAATAAATTCTCCAGATTTGTGTGGAGAAAGCCTGAACAGAAGTTATTATTAAAAATAGTACAAGTATTATTAAGCATGTAATTGAATAAAATCGTTCAGAAGTTGTTCCTTCAATACGCAATTTTTTGTTGGGTTATAGGGTTTTTGATCTAATTTCCGTCCTACTAAGCACATCCCGCACTTTACCTATCTTTTTTGAAGGGGTTTGAACAAAACATGGAATGTTTTCACCAAATTCACCTTTCCATACGTACCGTTGGATTTGATAAAGAGTCAAACAATGTTGAGATATTATTAAAAATCTAACACTGTTTCTTGATTCTAAATTCGTTCTACGAGTTTCAATTCCGTCCAAACGCCATTAGATTTTCTTCGTCCTACGGATGATGGTAGAAAAAGTGGATTCGCTATGAGCGCTTCTTTTGTTTTGAGAACAATGAGTGTAAATATTCATACAGTGCGCTGTAATAGGCTTCATGTTGTGGCTTACGAACTAACGGATCGGATCAAACGTATTATTGATTTGTGCATGGTGAAATCATTGATATTATTGATGATTTCTGCTAGATAGAACGGAAATGGGCGATTACGACGAAGTAGCGCTGTTCCCTACTTCGGCAGTCTGAAAAACCTTATAACGATGTTTCGAAATGCTCAAGTATTACCCAACACACATTAAATGCTTAATAAGAGCTTATTGAGGCCAAACTATGCTTATTCAACTAAAACATAGCTTGTTCAGCTTTTAATCAAATTGTATGTAGGGTAGTGCAACGAACTAGGATGGGTGGCTCCAAGCAGAAGTGCAAGAACCAATGTACACGCAGCGAAAACAATCAGAATGTGGGCTGTCATCTAATTAATTGCGACCCGTTGATCTTTGTTTTACTTTTGTATATATTTCATCAACAGAATCATAGTGTGTGTAAGTGGTTCGACTTTTCTACGAAAACAGAGAAAAAACTATAACTGCCGTGTAAGTATTGGTGTGTGTATGTGTATGTATGTGACCGTGTCCGTGTGTATGTGTGTCTATCCGTATGTATGTACGTTTGATAAGTAGTGTAAACGCATGTTACGTGAGAACATTATGTATCCTGCCCCTAAACGTGCCAAGAGTATGCATAGATGCTACTACCGGGTAGTTGGCATTCCTCGCCAAGTTAGACAAGTGTTTTAACCTTTTCGCGGCAAACAAAAAAAAAAGTTATTGTGGTTATGTTTAAGTTCCTCTTCTCTTAGCCGCACGTATGATAGATCGATGGGAATAAAAGTTCAAATAAATAAAAATACCAGATATCGAATTAACCGGTCGGTATAGGAAAGATTAGCTGTGGATGTTGCGTAACTTGATTAAAGTCCGAAACCACGGCAAAAGGTTTCGGCGTCCAAACAAGAGAGAAAGAAAGAAAAAAACGCGTGAAAAAAATGATCGATCAGAGATTTGCGGGGGCTTTGTATCGTTTATTTCCTTTCTAGCAAGACTCGCACGCGCCAACGAGGGTGTCGGTCATTTTTTCGACGGTTTTGTTTTGCGAGAGTCTTCTACTTCTGTGTGTGTGAGAGTGAGTGTGTGTGTGTGTGTTTATGTTAGGCACCTTTCACTTTCGCATTGAGGCAATTTTGCACTTCGTTTTCGGCATTGTTTTGGTACTTTAGCTGTTTCCTATCGATTTTTCATAGTTTACATTTTTGTTTTGCTCTGCTTTCAGCGTATTTTGATGGTACACCGTTTATGTTTTATGTTTTGAAATCTTACACTGCTTAAAGTTTCCGTTCAATTTCCCGAAAGACACTGAATGAGAGTAACAACCAATAGGTAACAATTTTGCTATCACTGCTAGTACTTTCTATAGGGAGAAAGAAATCCAAAAAGGCACATTTTCTAAAATCTAGCCGAAAAATATGTTAACTTCTACACTGATTAAAAAAGGCAATTTAGTGGATTGCTTCGATTTAGTTGGGTGCCTTTCATTCGGAAACGTTGACAGTTCTAATACGATTAGATTCTTGTTGCTGCTGTGATGTTTTGTTTACTCAATATAGTAACGCATTAAATTAAGAACATCTTTCTGTGTACTGGACTAACGCTACAAAATAAAATATGAATAATAGCAACACGTAAACAATTAGCTTAAGATAAAAAGAAGAAAATATAAACAATGTTTCAATGGTAAATAAAATTATCAAAGACGAAACTCGGGGTGACATATCGGGTGTCGCGCTTTCTATTGTTTAGTACGGGGCTCGAATATCTTTTTCTACGCTTATTGATTGTGGTTGTTAGGTTAGGTGTGTAACTCTAGTTGTATACTTGCATGTAACGCAACGCTTAAAATATTACTTGTTTTTGTTTTGAACAACATTGTTCTAGCAAGCAGTATGTTGTTGTTATTGTTGTTATTGTTGTTAATTGTGTATTTCCATTTGTTTACATACATGTTTTGGAAGGATAATGACTAGGAAACAATTACTCTTGTTACTCTTTCACATTCTATCAACGGTCATTTGTTTTTTTTTTGTTTGTTTTTTTTTTGGTTTGGCTATCACCACATTTAACATTATACAACGCAGAAGGCTACGTGTGACGGTCTCCGTTTTTCGCTCACACCGATTGGCAAGGCCTCCTGCGATTCTACTGCTGTTCTAAAATTATTTTTTGGTTAAACATTTGTAGAGTTTCCTTCCACTTTTTTTTTGCTGTTGTGTTGTTTTGCTGATGTTTTTGTTGTACTGTTAACGCATAGCTAAGGCATTCTAGAAAACGCCAAGGAATTCAACCTTGCGTTTCGACGTGGTGTTCGGCGGATCCGACGTTGGTCGACCGGTTCTTCTCGGTTGTTGGGCCGACGACAACGACGGCGACGATGGTCCGGAAGGCGGATTAACACGATGATGATGATGCTGCTGCTGCTGCTGACGATGACCCACGGTGGATGGCGGCGGTGGTTGTTGCTTTCCGACTGCTAGGATAGGTTTGTCTCATAACTTCTTGACGTAGTTTCCCGGGAAGGTTCCGAAGCAGCCGGTTCGAGCCGAAGTGCCCACGTACCAACCGTCGTCGCACTTTTCCAACACGTACACGACGTCTCCCTCGAGCAGTTCCAACTCGTCGGAGTTCTGTGGCTTGTAGTTGTAGAGGGCCCGGTAGCTGTGCGGAAGGGAGATGTTTGCATTAGAAAGATTTTGAAGACAGTTCATTTTCAGGTTGAATTCTGGCTCAGGGGATCTCCAAAGAGACACTTTTAGAAAAAGTTCATCTCTTCAACTCTGAGTCTAGAAATGTCCTGAAACGTGCCAAACTCATCATGCGACCTACCACAACTCACATGATAAAAAAAAACAATATCATTGGGGGTCATAAGCTCGAAATAAAACTATTCTTTATTCTTTCACTAAGTTTCGCGTTATTCGTTTTCTGGTGGCTTTTTCTCATTTATCCAAGTTCCCACGGACTCTGCGGGTGGATTCGATTCATCAGGTTGTGTGCCCAGTGGTGGAAAGTGAGAAAAATAAAAATAAAAGGCGAACTTTCGTGCGAAAACTGTTTTCCGGATTTTTTTTCCGACGACCGAAGTGCTGTGAAAAGTGAAGAAGAGAAAATATGGCGGACAGTCTGAAAGTGTCGTTCACCAAATTGAACAACACAAACTACGTATCCTGGAAGTACCGAATGAAGACGCTGCTTGAACGGGAGGAAGTTTGGGATGTTGTGGATAAGCCGAAGCCGGAGCAGTTTGACCTAGCCGAGCTTGTGCAATGGGTGACGGATGACCGGAAGGCGCGTACGACGATTTCTTTGTTTGTTGCGGTTGCGGCCAGTTGCGGTTTGTGAAGAAAGCTGTGACGGCGCGTGAGATGTGGCGTAATCTACAGGTCTACCACGAGAAAGCGACGATCGGGAATCAGGCGATGCTCCTCCAGCAGCTGTGTTCCCTGAATCTGGCAGAAGGGGGCGATATCGAAAAACACATCGACCAGATCGAGAGTCTGTATGAGCGGCTCGACAACGCGGGCATCGAACTGGGTGAGCTGCTACGAATAATTATGCTGTTACGTAGTTTGCCACCGTCGTTCAACAGTTTCGTCACATCGCTAGAAAATCGACCGCAGGAGGATTTGACGATGGACCTGGTTGTGGCTCGTCTACGGGACGAATGTCAGAAGCGTTCGGGTCAACAGAAAAACAGTTCGAAGGAGGAGAAAGCTCTACGTATGGACATAAAAACGAAGACCGAAAAGAAGTGCTTCTTCTGTCATCAGCCGGGGCATTTTCGTCGGAATTGCCGCAAGTTTTTGGAAGCTAAAAAGGGTGAGAATTCGAAAGAACCGAAGAAAGCGGCTTCGGATCAGCAAGTGAAGCAGGCGGAAGTGGAAAAATCCGTGAAGAAACCCGAAGTGAAGGACAGTGCTGTTTGTGGCGCGGTCTGCTTTGCAGCAGGCGATGTGATTCCTGGTGCTTGGGTCGTGGACAGTGGCTGTACGTGCCACATGACAAACGATCGAGGTTTTTTCACGGAATTCAAACAGGATGTTGTTATTGAAGTGACCCTGGCAGACGGTGCGGTGACGAAATCGGCTGGTTGCGGAAGCGGAGTACTGTTTGTCGTAAATGGAGAAGGCAAGCGCATAGCGATTAAGCTGGATTACGTTTTGTTCGTTCCTGCATTGGAAGGCGGATTGATTTCTGTCCGCAAGCTTGCGCTGAAGGGGTTTGATGTCATCTTCAAAATGGACCACTGTGAAGTCAAGTCTGCTGATGGTGTTGTCGTGGCAGTAGGCGAAACGCATGGCAATCAATATGTGCTCAAGATAGCGGAATCGAGTATGGTTGCGACTGGAAACCATACTGCGCAGTGTCAACATACTTGGCATAGGAGAGTCGGACATCGGGACATGGATGCTGTGAGCGCTATTCAATCGAAGGGATTGGCGGAAGGTTTGAACATTAAGGATTGCGGTGAACGGATTATCTGTGAGTGTTGCCTTAAGGGGAAGCTAGCTCGTAGCCCGTTTCCGCAGGTTACTGAGAAGAAATCGAAGCAACCGCTCGACATTGTCCATACCGAGACACCGAGCGGGAATAAGTATTTTATGACCATGATCGATGATCATAGTCGTTTCTGTGTGGTGTTTCTGCTTAAGTCTAAAAGTGAAGCGGCTAGCAAGATCGAGCAGTATGTTCGCTGGACGGAGAATATTTTTGGACGGAAGGTTCGCATTGTGCGGTCGGACGGCGGCGGAGAATATATTGCCGAGAGTCTGCAGGAATTTTACAAGGCCGAGGGTATTCATGCACAGTTTTCAACTCCCTACTCACCGCAATCTAATGGCGTAGCGGAGAGGAAGAACAGGGCTTTGCAGGAGATGGCGAATTGTATGCTGCTGGATGCAGGACTCTCAAAGCGATACTGGGGAGAAGCTGTTCTGACGGCTGCCTTCATTCAGAATCGACTGCCATCAAGAGCCATCGATCGAACGCCGTTTGAATCGTGGGCTGGACTGAAGCCGGATCTCTCTCGGCTTCGTGTATTCGGCTGTGAAGCATGCGTTCATATTCCGAAGTCAAGGGGAAGAAGTTTGACACAAAATCGAAGAAGATGATCTTCGTAGGTTATTCGGAAAGCCACAAGGGCTACCGATTCGTGGACTGTGAGACCGACCGAGTTACCGTGAGTCGGGATGCACGGTTCATAGAGCTGGGGAACGGATCACAACAGGAGGAGGAACGAGTGAAGCAACCGGAAGAGCCTGTGGATCGAGGTGCAGCTGAGATAGAAGAGCCAGTGGAAGTGGATTGTGAAAATGAAGTGATCATTGGACAAAGCGCGGGTAATGAAGTGGCAGAAGAGCCTGAAGATCCCGAATCAGTATATGAAGATGCAGATGCGCATGAACTCCAGGAAGAAGAAAAGGATGACTTTTACGGTTTCGAAGAAGTGGAAACGTGGCCTCTGAGAAGAGAAGATCGGCGCAACCGGGGAGTTTTGTCTCCCAGATTTGGTGATTACGTTGTAGGGCAAGTCTCTCACGAAGAAGAACCCAGTGATTACCGTGAAGCGATCCGAATTCCGGAGTGGCGAGCACCTATGCGTGAAGAAATAGAGGCGCACAAGGTGAATACGACCTGGAATCTTGTGAAACTGCCTGCCGGCAAGAAGATCATTGGAGCTAAGTGGGTGTTTAAGTTAAAAAGGAACGAGACTGGCGAAGTAGTTAAGCACAAGGCACGGATCGTGGCACAAGGCTACACGCAAACGTTCGGAGTGGACTATTCGGAAGTATACGCTCCAGTAACCCGACAGTCGACGCTTAGGGCGATGCTTGCAGTGGCCGGGAAGAAAGAGTTGCTGTTGAAACAGTACGACGTCAAGACGGCGTACCTCAACGGGACTACCGACGAGGAGCTGTACATGCGACAGCCTCCAGGATTTGAGACAGCCGAACGAGAAATGGTGTGTAAATTACAAAAGAGCATCTACGGGTTGAGACAATCCGCTCGATGCTGGAATAAGGCGCTGCATACCGCGTTGGTAGAACTTGGATTCGTGCAGTGCAACTCCGATCCCTGTCTGTACGTTCGTCGTTCAGATCGCGCAACCCTCTACTTACTCGTTTATGTGGACGACCTGCTGATGGGATGCACGGATGAAGCGGAAATGGACGAAATATACCGACGACTACGAGAAAAGTTCAATATTACGTCGCTCGGAGCTGTTCGACATTTCTTAGGCTACGAAATTGGACGAGATGGAAAGTATTTTTCATTGCGACTGACTGCATACATCGACTGTTTGATCAAGAGGTTCGGAATGGAGGATGCACATCCAGTGCGTACACCTATTGATCCGGGATATACGACCTTGAACGAGGAGAGCAAGCCGTTTTCCAACAAGACTATCTACCGTAGCTTGATAGGGGCGCTGCTCTACCTGGCGGTGAACGCTAGACCTGACCTGTCGATTAGCGTCGGACTGCTCGGAAGAAAGGTGAGTGCCCGAATCAGAGCGATTTGAGTGCGGCGAAGCGTATGTTGCAGTACGTGAAGACAACGAAGGAGTATAAGCTGACGTTTGGTCCAGGCGATGGTTGGCACTTGATTGGCTATTCCGACTCGGACTGGGCTGGAGATAAGCGTACCAGGCGTTCTACATCCGGGTACGTGCTCTTTTATGGCGGAGGACCGATTTGCTGGATTAGCAAGGGTCAGGACTGCGTTGCCTTATCGTCACTCGAGGCAGAGTACAACGCGCTTACGGTGACTTGCCAAGAAGCTGTATGGCTGCGACGTTTGCTGGACGATTTGGACGAACGCCAAACCGGCTGGACTACAATTTATGAAGACAATCAAGGATGTTTGTCTTTTGCTAAGGCAGAACGTGTCAGTGGCCGCGTCAAGCACATTGATACAAAGAGCCACTACGTTCGTGAGCTTTGTGAGCGGAAGATAGTTCAGCTAATCTACTGTCCTATTGTTAAGATGGTGGCAGACGCTTTAACGAAGCCTCTTGGTCCGTCATTGCTGCTGAAGTTTGTAGAAAGAGTAGGGCTATCGACTTAATGAACTAGTAACGAGGTTGGTAGTCATTCAGGAGGACTGTAGGAGTGGAACGACAACCCTCAACCTAGTAGAATTAGCAAGTAATCTTCGAACACTGTATGAACATTTTTATACCGGCACATGTTGCGTGCTTGTTTTCTTTTGTATTTTTCATTCGCACGAGTTGTGCCCTCAATTTTCTCAACCCATGTGTTAACAAGAGAAGCTCGAAATAAAACCATTCTTTATTCTTTCACTAAGTTTCGCGTTATTCGTTTTCTGGTGGCTTTTTCTCATTTATCCAAGTTCCCACGGACTCTGCGGGTGGATTCGATTCATCAGAATTATGTACCTACTGCTTCGGACAGGCATAAGGATGTGCGCTAATTATGCTTTTTTCGGAATCCAATTCAATTTTGGAGAATCCATGGCCGAACTTGGTGGAGATTCACGGTTGTGGTTTGTAAAAATTGAATTGTGGCAACATCAATAACACATTTTGACACATGCACACTGCATAGGCACAGATCAGAAATGATCAGAAAAATTGTAACCATGGTTGTCAAACAGTGTCAATGAGCGTGCCCAAGCTTGTTTTTGGCACACTGTATGGAGTGAACAACCCCATGAAACTAAGGCAATGTTCAGCTTGATTTGGCGTTATGGAATTTCACCACATTAGTAAAGATTTGCAGTCGCTGTCAAGTCCAATGCATCATAGCAAGCTGCGATACTCTATGCCTTTATTCTGACTCGATCATATATGATAATATTCTTGAACACCAGCAGGATCCTAACAAAACCGATACAGTATTAAATTTTTCAACTGTAGATAAAGTTTTTGGAGCATCTCTGATTAATCAATTTATCAGGAAAAGTGAAAAAGTGCTCCGCTTCTTATGTCTCACGGCAGCAATTTTTGCTCGCAACACACTTTTTGACGTTCTCTTATTCATCACTAGAGGTTGAATCGATCGCTTAGTTTCTACTAAAAAGGCGTATCAAATAAACGCATGTCAGTCTCGTTGCTATTTTTTTGCAACCTTTAAGTCATTATTTTAATCAAATAATGAACGAATTGCGTATAAAAGTATTTACTAATTCATATTTTACTAATGGGATGCATATTGAACTCCATTATAATGAATGAAGTGACTAGACCCAGAGAAGGCTCAGAAGATGTTTCACGGGGAGTACAGTGGACTTCCAAACAATATCCAGAGGATCATTAGATCAAAGGACTTATAGGAGACGTCCAAGGAATGAAGACCAGTGAGGATGGGCGAAGTTCAAGCGGAGAAAGAGTAGCTGAGGAAGATGACCGTCTGCAACTCAAGAGGGGAGGTGGCTGTCAAATACGAACAATCGTCGCCTACCTCGCATAACTGGTTCCAAACGTAAACAAACCATAAGAAACCTACAGGGTTTGTTTACGTTTGGAACCAATTTCATACAAGTAGGCTGATTTGACAGCACGTCCCTCCCCAGCTGCAACTAAGGATAGAAACTACTTACGAAATCGGCTCATTGGTGGTGTCGACGTGCAGCACTTCCGTCTTTTGCACCGTCTTCGTTTCGCGGATGATTCCCGGCGATACCCTTCCGTTGGTCAACGAACTGTCGAACCCGGTCGTCAGCGTGTGCGATTGTATCGTCTGCAGGCTCGGTTTCACGATTGGTTCGATTTCGTAGCTCTCCTCGCCGCCAATATCGGTCAGAACCTGTCAAGTACGTTACACTTCGATTAGTATGTCTTCCAATACTTCATAACCGTTCGGATCCTAACCTCAACGTAGGAAACGGGAAAGATGCCCTTCTTATTGCCGATCCTTCCCTCGAACCAGTTGTCATCGACTCGTCGAGTCAGCGTGACCAGTTCACCTTTCAGTAGCGACAGCTCAACCGAAGTTTGTGCGGTAAAGTTGAACTTTGCTCGAGCTTTCCCTTCCCGTTGGGGCTTCTTCGGCAGGGGTTTGGCACCTTCCCGTGGGAGGATCTGAAATTATACAAACACCAATTGCAATACTAATCGCAACATTCGAACATGCAAATCGCCTGGCTCACTTCAATGTAGTTGGCTGGCAAGAGTCCAATCATGGCGTTGTGTTCGCCTTCGTACCAATTCTTGTCGATTTGTCTCCGCAGGTAGATGATGTCACCCTTCTTGAAGGTTAGCTCTCTGAAAACAACGAAATCAGGAGTTACAAACAAAATTGTTGAATACTGAATCGATGCCACTCACCTCGCCGATTGGCCCTGGAAGTTGTACAGTGCCCGGGCGATGGTCCGAGGCAGCACGCTGGGTGCCACCGGCTTTGGCGAAAGGTCCGCTTCGAAGTCTTCGTAGCGATTCAGCGGGATCGGTGACTTTTGCGAAGGTGTGAAATTGTCCGTGTGCCGTCGGTTGTGCAGGTCCTCCAGTTCGTGCATGTACTTGCGGCGCCGTTCCTCCTGGTAGACGCGGCGCATGTGCTCCGCCTGCCGGTAAGCCAGTTCATCGTCCGGGATGGCTTCCTTGTACTCGTACCGGATCGGCGTCTTGTAGTGGATGTTGACATCGCTCTCGATGTAGCGACGGGGAAACTCTGTTGGGTGGATGGAAACGTGGGGGGAAAGTGGTCAATGATGGGTTTGTGGGGATTTTAGAATGCTGATGTTTGCAAAAAATAATCTAGTAATTGGAAGTGTTAACTCCGGACATTCGAAGATTCGATAACATATAATTCGTAACAGGAAATTCCGATAGATTCCATAGATTCTACTTAAGTAAACGAACGAGATTTCTGCATAAATCCATAAAGAAAGTGATAACTGAAGCATTCACTTTGCGTTGCTGCAATTTTCCGCTTGGCGGCGCTTCAATTCCTGGCAAGAACTGTCACACTTCGGCACGCGGTAAAACATCTGCACCATCATTGCCGGTGTTTCTACCTAGTAGGTACCTATTCAGCGATGCGTGTAATCATGGATGCGTGTTTCTCGCCAACTAGCATTAATCATACATTCATCAAAGCAAAGTATTTCTAATTACTTCCATAGCTGTAAGAGCACTCCCATCGTCAATCAGCATCTTCAACGACGATAAACAACCATCGTGTAATCGCTGTAAACATGCAACGTATGAGTTGTGGATTTTAATTGCTTCCATCGATTCTTCTTCAATGTTCATCTCTAGAAGAAGTGCAAAAATGTATATCCAAGTCTGATTCATGCAACCAACGTTGATTGAAAAACTTGCAGGAAAACAATCTTCCACCTCGTTCGATGGTCATTACGCGCGAATGGAAAACATCCGCTTAAGAAAACGCGGAAAATATTGATATCCATTCCAATCCTTGAGATATGGTGCCGATGATGATTACGATGTGAGTAATGCCACAGTCAAACGAACTCCAGCAGTCTGATAATTATTAAGTTCGAACTGCCATCGCAAACGATTGGTGTCTGTTTGTCTGTGAACTAACATGATTTCGATTTCGCACGCCGGGTGTTTCGATAGAGTCATTAGCATGGCGGTTGATTTGCCATCAATTTCCTTCCCCACGGTAGGGATTGGAGATATGCAGCAAATTGTGAGGTGAATTTCAATTAGACCCACCAACGAAACGCGCTAAAACAGAAGGCAAGAAACTAATAATCTGTCGCCAACTTTGGACCAACATTCAGGTCCATCAGTGGCGGGGGAGGGTGGGTCGATTTCACCGTTCATTGGTGCTGAGGAATTGAGTTTTCCCATGCACTTGGTAGATACGGGGAAAAGAGATTATCTAGCCAGCAGAAAGTGAACTAATCGATAGGTTTTGCATATAGGTAGTTGGATTGTGTTGATTCGAATCGGTTTTGTTTTCTCTAATAGTTTCACTTGTACTTGATGGAGCAGTGCGCATTTCAATGAGGTTTCTGTCGTGTGGTAAATGAAGTTGGCACTTGTTTGGGAATTTTGTTGCCCCGCTGTTGTTGGATACAAATTAGGCTCATTAAGGTTGAATGCATACGGTTTAGAAATTGAAAATTTTGTTGACGCATTATAATTTACAATTTGTTAAGTGATGAGATTTCAGTTACCTGCAAGTTTAAGGAGTTGGTTGACACGTTTGGTGTGGTCTATCAGTGAGTAATTACAATAGCTTTATTGAGTATTCCGATTTATCTTCGGCACGGCAGCTACAACTTAAGTCCTCTAAGTAAAAGTATGAACGGAGTCTTCACATGTCAATAAAGGTTGAACACGAACAACTTCGGACACATTAAAAACGCTTTCTTGATAATATTTTTTTCAAAATTTAACTGAATCAAGCTAAGAGTGTATATAGAATCACAGTAGGCATTGGTTGTCAGGATAAATTAATTTGTTTACATCATGGCTTCACCGGAGCAAGCAGGTCGTGATTCTTCACGCTCGAAACGAAAATCCCGGTCTATCCGCTCCGGAAGAGTGCTCCAGAAGAAAATCAAAAAGAAGTCGAAACTCCCCAAAAAGTTTCTTGTCTGGCAAGCAATCTGCAGTTGTGGGCTAAAAAGCGAAACTTTCGTTACCTCTGCGACCATGAACCAGCAAATTTACCAGGAGTACCTATGGAAGAGACTACTGCCTTTTCTAAAGCAGCATGAGTGGATTGCCTATTCTGACCGGAATTGACAAGCTGCCACTACTCAAATTCCACCCAACAGTGGTACAACGAAAATGGCGTCACAGTGGTTCCCAAGGAGATGAATCCAGCCAATACTCCGGAACGAAGGCCAATGGAGGAATACTGGTCAATTGTGAAGCACATACTGAAGAAAAAGGGTGGAACTGCAATTGAAGTGAAGGATTTCAAGTGGAAATGGAATTTGGCAGCCAAACAAGTGGGAATAGGGTTCGTGCAAAAGATGATGGGCCGTGTACGAAGAAAAGTTCGAGCAATAGCCTATGGTACGAAGGAAGACTGAAACGATGGTCTTACAACAAGCATAATGGAAAATAAAACATCCATAGAAAGAATCTGTCGAATTTCTAGGAAGAATCTGTCGAAACTCAAGGGAGATTCTGTCGAATCTTTAGAGGGCAATTCTGTCCAATCTCTGGAGGAAAATCCTGTCGATTCTCTAGAGGGAAATTCTGTCCAATCTCTAGAGGGAAATTCTGTCGAATCTCTATGGAGATTCTGTTGAATCTCAAGGAGATTCTGTTGAATCTCTAGGAAAATGCTGTCGAATCTCTAGAGGGAAATTCTGTCGAATCTATAGAAGGAAATTCTGTCGAATATCTAGAAGGAAATACTGCCGAGTCTCTAAAGGGAAATTCTGTCGAATCTCTAAAGGGAAATTCTGTCGAATCTCTAGAAGGAAATTCTGTCGAATCCCTAGAGGGAAATTTTGTCGAATCTCTAGAGGGAAATTCAATTGAATCTCGAGAGGGAAATTCTGACGAATCTCTAGAGGGAAATGCTGTCGAATCTCTAGAGGGAAGTTCTGTCGAATCTCTAGAGGGACATGCTGTCGAATCTCTATGCAGATTCTGTCGAATCTCAAGAGAGATTCTGTATAATCTCAAGGAAGATTCTGTCGAATCTCTAGATGGAAATTCTATCGAATCTCTAGAGGGAAATTCTGTAGAATCTCTAGAAGGAAATTCTGTTGAATCTCTAGAAGGAAATTCTGTCGAATCTCTAGAGGGAAATTCTGTCGAATCTCTAGAAGGAAATTCTGTCGAATCTCTAGAAGGAAATTCTGTCGAATCTCTAGAGGGAAATTCTGTCGAATCTCAAGGGAGATTCTGTCGAATTTCTAGAAGAAAATTCTGTTGAATCTCTAGAGCGAAATTTCGTCGAATTTCTACAGGGAAATCCTGTCGAATATCTAGAGGGAAATTCTGTCTAATTTCAATGAAAATTCTGTCGAATCCCTAGAGGGAAATTCTGTTGAATCTATAGAAGGAAAATTCTGTCGAATCCCTAGAGGGAAATACTGTCGAATCTCTAAAGGGAAATTCTGTCGAATCTCTAGAAGGAAATTTTGTCGAATCTCTAGAGGGAAATTCTGTCGAATTTCAAGGGAGATTCTGTCGAATTTCTAGAGGAAAATTCTGTCGAATCTATAGAGGGAAATTTTGCCGAATCTCTACAGGGAAATCCTGTCGAATCTCTAGACGGAAATTCTGTCGAATCTCAAGGGATATTCTGTCGAATATCTAGAGGAAAATTCTATCGAATCTCTAGAGGGAAATTCTGTCGAATCTCTAGAGCAAAATTCAGTCGAATCTCTAGAGGGAAATGCTGTCGAATCTCTAGAAGGAAATTCTGTCGAATTTCTAGAAGGAAATTCTGTCAAATCTCTAGAAGGAAATGCTGTCGAATCTCTAGAAAGAAATTCTGTCGAGTCTCTAGAATCGAATCTTTAGAGAGAAATTCTGTCGTATCTCTAGAGGGAAATTCTCTCGAATCTCTAGAGGGAAATTCTGTCGAATCTCTAGAGGCAAATTCTGTCGAATATCTAGAGGGAAACTCTGTCGAATCTCTGGAGGGAAATTCTGTCGAATCTCTAGAGGAAAATTTTGTCGAATCTCTAGAGGGAAATTCTGTCGAATCTCTAGAGGGAAATACTGTAGAATCTCTAAAGGGAAATTCTCTCGAATCTCTAGAATGAAATTCTGTCGAATCTTTAGAGGGAAATTCTGTCAAATTTCTAGAAGGAAATTCTGTTGAATCTCTAGAGGGAAATGCTGTCGAATCTCTAGAAAGAAATTCTGTCGAGTCTCTAAAATCGAGTCTTTAAAGAGAAATTCTGTCGTATCTCTAGAGGGAAATTCTCTCGAATCTCTAGAGGCAAATTCTGTCGAATATCTAGAGGGAAACTCTGTCGAATCTCTGGAGGGAAATTCTGTCGAATCTCTAGAGGAAAATTCTGTCGAATCTCTAGAGGGAAATTCTGTCGAATCTCTAGAGGGAAATACTGTAGAATCTCTAAAGGGAAATTCTCTCGAATCTCTAGAATGAAATTCCGTCGAATCTTTAGAGGGAAATTCTGTCGAATTTCTAGAAGGAAATTCTGTTGAATCTCTAGAGGGAAATGCTGTCGAATCTCTAGAAAGAAATTCTGTCGAGTCTCTAGAATCGAATCTTTAGAGAGAAATTCTGTCGTATCTCTAGAGGGAAATTCTCTCGAATCTCTAGAGGGAAATTCTGTCGAATCTCTAGAGCCAAATTCTGTCGAATATCTAGAGGGAAACTCTGTCGAATCTCTGGAGGGAAATTCTGTCGAATCTCTAGAGGAAAATTCTGTCGAATCTCTAGAGGGAAATTCTGTCGAATCTTTAGAGGGAAATACTGTAGAATCTCTAAAGGGAAATTCTCTCGAATCTCTAGAATGAAATTCTGTCGAATCTTTAGAGGGAAATTCTGTCGAATTTCTAGAAGGAAATTCTGTTGAATCTCTAGAGGGAAATGCTGTCGAATCTCTAGAAAGAAATTCTGTCGAGTCTCTAAAATCGAGTCTTTAAAGAGAAATTCTGTCGAATCTCTAGAGGGAAATTCTATCGAATCTCAAGGGAGATTCTGTCGAATTTCTAGAGGAAAATTCTGTCGAATTTCTAGAGGAAAATTCT